CCTGTTTATGTGTCCACTCAGGTAGGCAATTCTGTCATTGTGGATCAGGTCCATCGATCCTACATTGTTACATTCTTTTATTATGAGACTAGAATGGATCTTCTGCTGCTTGATATGACTGACTTTGAGGTTATCCTGGGCATGGTATAGTTATCTCCATATCACGCCGTCCTTGATTGCCATGCCAAGACTGTTACCTTAGCGATGCTAGAGTTGCCTAGATTGGAGTGGAAGGGTTCATCTGTCAGCACACCTAGTTGGATCATCTCTTTTATAAAGGCTCGACACATGGTCGAGAAGGGTTATTTGGTTTATCTATCTTATGTTCGCCATACTACCACGGAGACCCCCAGCGATTGATTCAATACCCGTAGTCCGGGAGTTCTCCGATGTGTTTCCTTCTGATCTTCCAAGCATGCCACCAAATCGTGATATCGATATCTGCATTGATTTGGCTCCAGGTACCCGGCCTATATCCATCCCACCGTAATTATGGCTCCGAAATAGTTGAAGGATTTGAAGGAACAACTTGAGGTGTTTCTAGCAAAGGGGTTCGTGAGGCCGAGTGTATCACCTTGGGGTGCACCAGTGTTATTTGTGAAGAAGAAAGATAGGACTATGCGGATGTGCATTGATTACCGCCAGTTGAATAAAGCTGCCATTAAGAACAAGTACCCGTTTCCGCGGATTGATGATTTATTTCACCAGTTGCAGGGTACCAGGGTGTTCTCTAAGATCGACTTGAGATCGAGGTACCATCAGTTGAAGATTCGGGATTCATGTTCCGAAGACTACTTTATGGACTAGATATGGCCATTATGAGTTTCTTGTGATGTCCTTTGGTTTGACTAACGCCCCAGCAGCGTTTATCGATTTGATGAATAGGTTGTTCAAGCCTTATATTGATTCGTTCGTCATTGTCTTCATTGATGGCATTTTGATCTATTCGCGCAGCATGGAGGAGCATGAGCAACACTTGAGAGTGGTGCTTCATACCTTGCGGGAACAGAAGTTATATGCTAAGTTCTCCAAGTGTGAGTTTTGTCTAGATTCTGTGGCATTCATGGGGCATGTTGTATCAGGCGAGGGTATTAAGGTGGATCCTAAGAAGATTGAGGCAATTCAGAGTTGGCCTCGTCCTACTACGGCAATTGAAATCAGGAGCTTCTTGAGGCTAGCAGGTTATAAACGCTAGTTCATGGAGGGCTTCTCATCTATTGCAGCACCTTTGACTAGGTTGATCCAAAAGGGTGCTTCATTTCGTTGGTCCAATGATTGTGAGGCGAGCTTCCAGAAGCTCAAGATAACTTTGACTACTGCACTGGTTCTAGTGTTGCCTTCCGATTAAGGGATGTATACTGTGTATTGGGATGCTTCACGCGTTGGTTTGGGTTGTGTATTGATGCAGGAGGGACTAGTTATTGCATATGCTTCACGTCAACTGAAGCTCCATGAGAAGAATTATCATGTACATGATTTGGAGTTGGCCATTATCGTTCATGCTCTTAAGATCTGGAGGCATTATCTTTATGGAGTGTCCTGTGAGGTTTACATTGAACATCGCAGCTTGCAGCATTTGTTCAAGCAAAGGGATCTCAATTTGAAGCAGCGCAGGTGGCTCGAGTTACTAAAGGACTATGATATTACTATTCTTTATCACCAGGGCAAGGCGAATGTAGTTGCGGATGCCTTGAGCAGAAAGGTGGAGAGTATGGGTATCTTGGCATTCATTTCAGTAGAGAAGAGGCCATTAGCTTTGGACGTTCAGTCATTGGCTAATAGACTTATGAGGTTGGATATTTCAGTGCCCAGTCAATGCGTCATTGCCCGGTCTTCACTATTGGAGCAGATCAAGGCTGGACAGCTTGATGATCTGTACTTGTTTTCTCTTAGAGAGACGGTGCTACAGGGTGGTGCCAAGGAGGTTACTTTCGGTGAGGATGGTGTTGGCGACTCTAGGGTCGTCTATGTGTTCCTAATGTCGATAGCTTGAGGGAGAGAGTTCTAGAGGAGGCACACAGTTCACGGTATTCTATTCATCCAGGTGCTACGAAGATGTATCGCGACATGCCGGATCTAGAATAATATGTACACTGCCGAGGGTCGAGCGGCACGAACTATAGATGCATCTATCTACTATCGAGGCATTCCGCCCGCTGCACAAGAAGAGAGGATATTTTATAAGCATTTAACTTAACCGTTATTAAAGGCTAATACATAATGTAGCACAAATTCCAATAACGGTCTTTCACAATTTAATCAACAAGTTCTAATATAATTTAGGCACTTTAATTAAAAAAAGTAAGGTGCAAACATTTTACGTAATTCATGATTTGGGTCCTAAANCACACACACAATTAGAAGCAAACATTAATTTACATCACCTATGGGAAAATTTTCCTCTTACAAGGTTAGACAAGAGACTTACCTCGTCTCAAAGCTCACTTCCCGGTCAAACTTTTGCTACAGCTCAACTCGGTGCCGAAAAATCCGAAACTAGCCAAATATTATATAATTTAATCAGTACATGTTCAAAAGTTTATAATTTAATTATTAGAGTAATTACTCAACCCAAATTGGAAGATCCCTAAAATTTGTCCCAGGCCCACGTGCCGGATTCCGGAAATATTTGAAGAAAATCGTTATCCTTAACCTTAAGAACTCAGGTATACAGTTTTCATCCTATTCCATAACCATTTTCACGGTTAAAATCTCATTTTTATCGAAATCTAGTTCTTTCAACTAAACTCATAATTTACATGTTAAAATCTACCCATGAACTATGTATTTAACTTACATTAGGTGAAAATTACTTACCTTAAATAGCTAGTGAAAATCCCTCTTTAACCAGCTCCAAAATCGCCCCAAAATGAAATAAATGAACCCAAAAATGCTCAAACCCCGACTTAAATGAAGGCTCTGCCTTCAGCGATTTCGCACCTGCGGAGGTAAGGCCGCTTTTGTGGTCCCGCATATGTGGCAAAATTCTCGCAGATGCGGTCTTCTCCAATTGAGCCAAAATCCGCACCTGCGGACCACTGGCCCGCTTCTGCGGGTCCACTGCTGCGACTCTCCCGTCGCTTCTGCGGCTGTGGACGCTCCTACGGCTTCCTCCATGCTCCCAAATTCTCCGCTCCTGTGATTTCTAAGCTGCCCTTGCTGGACCGCTTCTCCGAGCTCGCACTTGCGACTGACCATGCGCATGTGCGGTTACACTAGAAGCTGGAAGCTTCAGCCATTTCTCTTATGTCCAAACTTGGTTCGAGCCTAGTCCGATTAACACCCGAGGCCGCCGCCCAAACATACCAATAAGTTTGAAATCATAAAACGAATTCGCTCGAACTCTCGGAACGCATAAAACAACATCAAAACTAAGAATCACACCCCAAACCAATTCGAATCAACTTATGAACTTCAAGTTCTTCCATTTTACCTCGAATGCGCTGAATCATATTTAAACTACTCAGAATGACACCAAATTTTGTGTGCAAGTCTTAAATCACCATACGGAGCTATTCTCTGACTCGGAATCCCAAACGGACCTCTATAACACCAAAACCTACTCCAAACCAAATTTAAAGAACTTTAAAACCTTCAAGTTACCAACTATCAATATTAGGCGACGAAACGCTCCCGGGTCATCCAAAACTCGATCCGAGCAGACGCCCAAGTCCAAAATCATCATACGAACCTATTGGAACCGTCAAATCCCGATTTCGAGATAGTTTACTAAAAATATTGACAAAAGTCAAACTTAGCCCTTTTTCCCAACCTTAAGGAACCAAGTGTTCCGATTTTAACCCGAACCCTTCCAAATCCCGAACGAACTATCTCCGCAAGTCATAATACAGTAAAAGCATATATGGGGAGTCTTATTTACGTGAACGGGGATCAAAAAGGCAAAACGACCGGTCGGGTCATTACATAAATTTTTCAAAAATTTGCAAACTTCTAAAAAATTATTTTTCAAAATTTTCACTCTAAATAACTCATAAAAATTTAAAAACAACTCCAAATTGTATTCATCTCCAAACACAACTCTAATTTTCAAATACCATTTTCACTTAGATTTTTTTACTTTTTTACCGGAGTTTCACAATTCATATGTCCAAACGCCCACTAATTGTACTCGAGTTTAGTGAAAGGCTCAAAGCAATTATCATTTTTTGAAAGGGCAACCAAAAGATGTCATAATCAATAGATTGATCTAATTGATAAAAAGTCCAATTTCTGTACACTGATAGTGAAGAGAAATTTTACATGACTAAATTAATTGCAATAAAACTGATACTCACCCGGTCCACAATAAGTGACTATTTTACCTTTTTATTTTGATCCAAAATAAGTGTTCATTTACATAATCAAGAAGGAATTAATTTTATTTTTTTAAAATTTACCATTATTTACATATTCCAATGTGTTAATTAGGTAACAATTAATTAAGGTTAATTTGATGAATATATTTTTTTTTCTCTAATAATTCATATTTTCTTAATAGGTATGCCAAAGGTAAAATGGTCAGTTACTCTGACCGGATGAAATAATAAAAAGTGCGCTTATTGAATAAGTTCAAATACATTCATAGCGTTAAATATCCAGACTTGATGACATTCCCCGGATCTAAAACTGCTCGCGGCCTTTTCACATAATTGTTTTTGTGAATTGAAGTCTTATTTAGTGACGAGTCGTTTGGTACATGGTATAAAAATAATAATTTTGAGATAAAATTTGAGATTAACTTTATTCGGATTTTGTTTGGGATATTAGCTAATTTCGAAATAACTTTTATACTATAATTGTGAGACTAGTTTATGCCATATATAGAAGGCGAATAACTAATCACATGGGATATTTCATTGTCGTACCAAACGATCCCTAAAAGTTAAAACAGAAAAAAAAAAGTACTACTCATTGATTAAGTAAGTACAATTATTTATGTCATTTAAAAGTTTCAAATTATGTAGTAAAACCTTTTTATACTGTGTCTGTATAAATACTCGTACTAGAAGAAAACACAAAGGGAGAGAGAAATAGCAAACTAAGCTTCTTTTGCTTCTAATTGTCTCTCTCTATCTATAATATCGAGTTTAATCTTTGAAGCCATGATCAGAAACGTGGGATTGAGGATTGGCTGGACATTCTTCACACTCTTCATCTGTATTCTAATAAGTCTGCTGGTGCTTCTTCTGCACCACACAAGTGCGGCAAATGCACAGCCCTATCCACACAAGACCTGCAACTTTTTCCGAGGAAGTTGGATTAAAGATGAAACTTATCCTCTCTACAACTCAACTCATTGTCCTTTCATTGAACATGAATTCAACTGCCAAGGAAAAGGTCGCCCTGATAAAGCTTACCTTAATTACAGATGGAAGCCCCATGGTTGTTCCTTAACAAGGTACCCCTATAGCTATCTCCATGCCTTAATTTATCCACATGTTATTTTACTACGAGTTTATGTACTATGTACTGTGTAAATAATTTTTACTATCACGATAAGGTAATTAACAACCTCTGACCTTTCATATTAGTCTAATATGTTAACTTGGATGTAATAATCCGCTATAGTTAAATTGAATTTGATAGCTTAAAAACTTTTTTTATACTGTTGAGTCGGATGCACATGATTTAAACTCTTGTACGAACTAATAAAGGCATATATTAACTTGCAGACCATTATTTGGTTTTTCTTAATCTTTCTAGAAAATGCTTGAACCCAATATTAGTTGTGGCTAGATCGAAAGACAGAAGAAGATGGAGGTCGCGTGAGCTGTGATATTATTTTTTCTAATAGGTAATAATATGAGGACACGTTACAAGTCCAAAAAAGTGGCAGGCACAATGATTTTCTGAAAGAAATCTCGAAAACCAAAATGCAATCTTCGCTTTGCCTTGTAATTGGCTAATCCATTTCTCTGTTTTTGCTCCACAAAATGTTTCCCTTTTTCTCTTTTCGCTTCGACGTTTTCTACTATCAACAATTTGCTAAGGGCAGTTTTGTTCAAAGACAAGTTATAATGTGAGTACACTTATATATTTGAATAGTTCTCCCTTTTTGTTCCAATTAGATAATAAACACCTGAATATAATTTAACATGGCATGTTATTTTCTTGCATTTGACTGGAGTGAGTTACATGACTGAAGTAGGTCATGGGTCATGGGCATGGTCAGACCAACTTGCTAAATTTTCGTTTTTATCTTCGTTGAATTAGTTAAAAAGCTCATGCATCTCAACTTGCTAGCTTTCAGTTCTTATCTTTGTTAAAGTAGCTATAAAGTTCAAATCATAAGGATGTCTCTATTATTTACTAGAGTACTATTTTATCTTTGTTCAAATAATCGATTTAGTGGCGTGCATGTCCAAAATTAAAGAAATGACAACTCTAGTGGATTCTTCAAAAGATGGCTACTTTTTGTCTTTATACAGATTTGATGGACGAGCATTCTTGAAGAAATTCAAAGGAAAAAGCATCATGTTCGTAGGAGATTCTCTCAGCAGAAACCAGTGGCAGTCACTTGTTTGCCTTCTTTACACATCAGAGCCAAAAGCCAATTATAATGCAACCAGAGTTGGCGATGTCTCCATTTTCACCTTTTTGGTAATTCCCTTTTTCATTTCTCTTAAATAGCATTTGTTCCATAGTTAGTTCTCACAAAATTATGGTCAATCATGGAATATAGTTGGAGAGAAACTAATAAATTTGAAGTAAAGAGTTTCAATATTTGTGCTTTAATAGTTTTTTTCAGTATCTAAAGTGCACTGATTCGATGTCATTTCTATCTTTATACATAAAAATTCCACCTTGTGATAATGAAGGGTTTGGCTGGATTGCTAAAGCCTAATTAATCAAAATCCAAGCTCTATCTTAAGTTTTGGGGGCCTCAAATGTGAAATTGACGGAAAACGAACTGATTCAGTAACCATGTAAGTGGGTATAGAAAAAGAACATTTTTTCTTATAACCGAGCTGTTCCTATAGTGACATATGAGCAATTGGCTCACGTATCTTATCTAATTGTTAGATCTTTCAGTATCAAAATTATCAGTTTGTTATGAACCACATCCTTGGCCTTAAAGTCCCTCATGGATTAAATTATTTGCTGGAACTGTCTCAACAGATTTATTAGATACAAATCTTTTTTGTATATTTAATTTGGGTATGGAAGAATCCCTCATTTACATGTTTAATTTTATTTCTTGGTGAATACACAGAATATTTTGTTAAATGATAGTAATGAGACTCGAAATCAGGACCTAAACAAATTATACTGAACCGTGGCCCTTTCAGGATTTTGGAGTGAAAGTGATGTTGGACCGGAGTGTATATTTGGTGGATGTTGTGAGGGAAGAAAAAGGCAGAATTTTGAAACTAGACTCAACCGAGGGTGGCAAGTTATGGAAAGGAATTGACATGCTCATATTCAACACTTGGCATTGGTGGAACCGCAGAGGAGTCGCTCAACCGTCAGTTCACTCTTCACACTAGTTGGCTTATTAATTACTTTTATTATAGTTGGTGTAGCCCATAAATATTCTGTGTTCACGTAGGTCCAAAGAAAGACAGTACCCCAAAGGATTCAAGTATACTTATTAGTTACATATATAATCTTAAGAGCCAAAAGTTTTGCTATTTTTCTTTATCTTGCAGATGGGATTACATTAAAACAGGAGAAAAATACTACAAAGACATGGATCGTATGGTTGCTTTTGAGAAGGCCCTACATGCATGGGCCAAGTGGATCGACACCAATATAGATCCTTCAAAACAATTGGTTTTCTTTCAAGGAATTTCACCATCACATTACAAGTAAGAGTAATTAAAAGACACGCCACTCTCATTTACTATACATTTTATTTTATGGGTTCAATCATTTTTAACATAACACTAAGTTTAAGTTTTGAATCAATCTATGTTCGTGTGTCAAAAGAATTTGCTAATTTGATCAATCTATCATTTTTTTTCTCTTTCTTTTCAACAACAGTGGTACTGACTGGAATCAACCAGGCGTGAAATCATGCTCGGGACAGAGGCGGCCGCTAAGTGGATCGATATATCCAGCAGGTCTACCTCCAGCATTAGGGGTGCAGAAGAATGTGTTGAGAACAATTAAGAAGCCAGTGACATTGCTTGATGTGACCAACCTTTCATTACTACGTAAAGATGGGCATCCTTCAATTTATGGAATGGGTGGGAGAACAGGAATGGACTGCAGCCATTGGTGCCTAGCAGGAGTTCCTGATACTTGGAATGAAATACTCTATAACCTTATTCTTTGACTGCTATTTTGTACCATATTAATTCTTCAAACACTTCAATGATTCATGGAACCACTGAAAAACAAAAGAATTCGTTGTCATCAGCGAGAATTTACCTGAGGAAAAGTTGAGAAAATAATAATAGCACTACACAATTTCTTGACAAATTTTGAGTTCATTGTCTATTCGGATCACACCAAAAGTTTTCATGTTACAGATTCTATATAGATCACTTCAAAACAAATATACATGACTCAGTTATTCCCTCCGTTTCTTTTAGTTTGATTTGGCGGAAAGTTTTAAGAAGTTAAAGAAATTTTTATAAAGGAGAATATTGGAATTAAAAATTTACTAAACAGAAAGTAACACTTTTTTAAGCAGATTAAAAAGAAAATAAGAGGTACAAATTTAGATAGAGGGAGTACAAGGCAATTAATTTTCTTCTCTTGTTGCACCCTGAATATCATATGGACTACAAAAATAGGAAGAAAAGAAATTGCAGTAAATTCATGGGGTGCCCTATTTATTGGTCTCGTACCCACTTTCAAAAAAGAGTTTGACTGGTACTCAATTGCTTTTTGGCTGCTTCTTCTTATCTGTTGCTTCTTCTACTCTTTTTTTTCTTCTTCTTCCTTGTCTTAAAATATAGCTCCAAACTTTGAGTTGGGTACTTGTAGATTGTAGTAGAGAAATCGAAAAGTCACCACTGTTAGAAACTAGAGAAAGCTTGCTCGATGGTAACCGCTGGAACCAATGAAATGAATCTCTTGAGAGATAGAAGAATTTTAAATTTAATTTTGAAGTTGTATTAAAAGATAGAAAAACTTCAGATTCCGATTCTGAAGTTGCAATGAACAAATAGAAGAACTTCATATCCCATACAAAAGTTGCATTGAGAATATGTAGAAGAGCTTTAGACCCAATTTCGAAACGATAAATTTGTAATTTCAGAGCAAATTCTGAAATGTTTTCCGAAATGGGTAAATTTTGCAAATTTTGATGCAAGGCGACCCTAAAATCCGGAATATTTGCACTTCCCCAAAAATAATTGTACGAACAAGAAAAATACGAATAAAAGAAGCCTAAGCTAATTTTAGAATGGGCCAAACCCATTGAAAGTGGACTAGAAGTCACATGGCTAGCGGTCCAAAATTTTCAAGCCCAACGAAAGCGTACAATTCTGGTTGTACAAGTGGGCAATATTATGCATGGGAATGTTGGAAGAAAAATCGGAAATAGTCAGATTTACATCTGATAATTAAAAAATACTACAATTTTAAAAGTAACCGAAATTTAAATATTTTTTCATGTAAAGATAAAATTTGAACAAAATACTCTTAAAAATCCAGAAAAATTCCAGCATAATATGCTAGAGTTCTAATTTTTTACATATGAGATTCCAGCCTAATGTGCTGGAATTTCATAATGTGCTAGAGTTCTAACATAATATGCTGGAAGATTATATGTAGGAGCTCCTTAATCCAACATATTATGCTGGAACTTTTCGTGTGCTGGAGTTCCAACATAATATGCTGGAAATTTATATGCGGGAGCTCCATAATTTAGCATATTATGCTAGAACTTTCCGTGTTTCAACAAAATAGTGGCTATTTTTCAATGACTTTGCAAACGTTGGTTATTTTTCAATTACCGATCTGAAAAATGACTAGTCCGTACTATTTTCACGGGAATGTTGGCTATACTAGCGGGCAATATTATGGAAAATAAATGAAGGAAAGAAATCTCGCTGGATAAGGACATAAGATAAAGTATGAGGTGACATGTAATATCATTTGGTAGCCATATGGTCCAAATGTTGGAAATAAATAAAGCAAGGCTATAGCTTTGCTTAGAAGGATCAAATTAAATTGCTGAAACTTCATAAAAACAAATCGTAAACATCAAGAAATAATGAGAACAATTCTTTTCTACCTAATAAGCTAAGGTCACTACACTCAGTACATAACATGAAAATAATTAAAATAAACAATAAAAAAGTGTGCTTGGCTCCAACAATATATATATATATATATCACCATTGATCTAAAGCCTGTATTTCTACAATGAATTACTCATCATATATAAGCACTTGCAGTTTTGATACTTTTCATATTTAATTAATTTCCTTCTTCCCTCTTCTTTGATTTGATGGAAGCTGGACGATATTTCAGCAGTGTATATTTCGTTTATGTTATTTTGTTCGTCTTGTGCCTTCACAACCAGTCAACTAGCGCCGTACTACTAAAGCATTTTAGTCACTCTAGAGGATCAAAAACAAGCAGCTGTGATTTTTTCGAGGGGAGTTGGATTTATGACGATTCATTTCCATTGTACAATTCATCGATCTGTTCTTTTATCGAAGGACAATTCGATTGCCAACGAAATGGACGACCTGATAAACTCTATCTCAAGTACAAATGGAAGCCTACTGCATGTGAATTGCCCAAGTTCGTATAATCAATTATATATACCTCATTGTGTCTAATTAATTTTGGCTAAAACATCCTAGTATATATACAACTATTATTATTTTGGACAGATTTGATGGATTGGATTTTCTGAAGAGGGTGAAGGGGAAGAAGATAATGTTCATAGGAGACTCTTTGAGCCTTAACCAATGGCAATCACTCACATGCATGTTGCATGCAACAGTGCCCCACCTCAGCTTCACAATCCAAAGGATAGGAGACGTCTCTAACTTTGTTTTCCAGGTAAACGTCATTACTAACTTCCGATTTTAAGTTCTATACACTAAAGGTACGGTATATAAAAATATTTATACTGTCGGATCATATATAATTAAAATCATTACAATAAATCTCTATCGTAACTATTATTGATTAATAACCTAGTAAAAATGGTAATTAATCTGCTAGTAAAATTATATACATAGAAAATCTTTAGTAATTATCATAGCTTATATAGTATCTACCATCACTTATGGCCGGTGGCGGAGCTAGAAGTCCGGCTACAAGTTCTACATTTTATTTATGTTAGGTAATTTATTGAATATGTACAAATAATAAATTTAAAACCAATAATTAGCATTTAAAGTTATTGTTCTAAATTTTAGAACTCATAAAGTTAAAATATTGGCTCCGCATTTACTTATTGCACCGTCTGCACGTACGCACCACATATTAACATACTACCCCCACCCCTTATTCTGAGGAAAAGCTTGAATAGAATAACCGAATAGGAGCACCTTGACAAATACAAAATGTGATTTCTTTGAATTTAACTGTAGAACTTCATTTTTTAAAGTTAATTAATTATATTTGGAATTTTGTAGCAGGACTATAACGTTTCTTTGATTTTGTCACGAAACGCCTTTCTGGTAGATTTAGTCAAAGAGAAAATAGGCAGAGTTCTGAAGCTGGATTCAATACAAAATGGCGATGCTTGGAAAGGTTTGGACATGCTCATTTTCAATACATGGCATTGGTGGCTCCACAAGGGAAGCCAACAACCGTAAGCTTTTCTTAATTATTTTGACTTATTTTGTTCTCATGAAAGGTTTGATAGGTATTTGCCTGAATTATCTCTATCATTTTTAGTTTTTTTTTAGTTTTTAGTTTTTTAAAGAAGGACAATATATATTTAGCATAATTAATTTATTTTTTTACTAAAAGAAAAATATAAAATTTTCATATATGGCGAATTCCTTTCTTGTAGAAAAAACTTATATAAATTGAAAGTCATTCCTTCTCACTTTGTAGCGTTCACAATATAGCCCTAAGGGGATAGAGAGTCTTATTTAGGGGAGAATTTATGAGATAAGTGTTATCCTGCCACTTGTGTGAGTTTTTTTACCTCTTTAAGAGTAAATTTTGTGAGGTTGTTCTCTCGATATTTTGTACTATTTATATAGGTGATTGCTCATCTCCTCATTTGAATGTAAGTCAATTGACTAAACTACATTAAATGTTTATATGTTTTTTGGTATATTTCTCTTTTGTTATCTAATTTATCGACATTTAAGATTTACTTTATTAGCTTCTGCATGACATTTAATTATTTCGATCCTAACAAGATTTTCAAAAATACCCACTTTTTTTTCCTTTTTATCGTATCGTGTGAAATTCTCTATATTTGTGGTTTAATTTGATATATTTGTTCCAGATGGGATTTTATCCAAAAAGGAGATCAAATTTATAAAGACATGGATCGTTTGGAGGCCTTCAAGGAAGGACTCAAAACTTGGTCCAAATGGGTAGAATCTAATATTGATCCTTCCAAAACAAGAGTGTTCTTTCAGGGCATCTCTCCAACACATTACAAGTACGCTTATTTACTTTCTTTTCTTTTTGGTATCTTTTTTTCATAGGATTGGTATTAAATTTAATTCATTTGTGTACTTGTGGCTTTAGAATGGAATTGACTGTACCAATTTTAAGAAATTTCTTTGAAATGCAGAGCTGAGATTACTAACCCTATTCGATTGTCACAACTTAATTACAAGTAAACTTTGTCTTTTTCTTTTCCCATATCTTTATTTTAGGTGGTTTAACATAGGCTTTGATTTTGAATTAATTACTATATTTGAAAGGCCGAAAGGTGTTTCAATCCTAAGGATCATTGCGCTGGATTGCTAATCGTGAGTCTATTTTAAACATGTAAAATGAAGTTTTAGGACCCTTATAAAGAAGCTAAATTAAATAAGAGTAATTTATGCAAAATACCCATTGAGCTTAAAATAATTACTCTTTTCTATCCATTTGAAAACTATTTACAATATATCCAACTAAAATTTACTCATTTGGTTTATATTAGCTTGATTTGGCTTGGTTTGACTTTGCTTGAATTGACTTTGTTTGGCTTGGTTTAATAGCTTAGTTTGACTTCATCTGGTTGGTTTTAACTGGGTATTTAAAAAGAATAGGTAAAAGGCAAACCACATGGGCCGGGTAAATTGTCTCCCCCTGGATATTTGCCAAAGATCCCCAAAATAATGAAGTTGGTGGTCCCTGGCCAAATACACACACTTAAAAACACACATTAATAGCGAGAAAGGTGTCCCCTTCCTCTCCTAATTTTCTCGTCCCACCTATAATATATGAGTACTAAAATTTTGTCTTTTGTACTATAACTTTTTCAGCAACTGTGGTCTTTTTGAGACTTCTCAATCTAAGAACTTCCATATAATTACAACCTTTTAGGCAGGGTC